CCCCCCGCCCCAGCCCCCAAGGCAGAGTGCTGCAGGAATAAAATAACTGCCAATGACACCACCTCGGGATCTCAGTCCACTCACGTGAGCTGCTCATCTAAGGGTCACTCTAGAAATGCCACTTGCACCTCTAGGGAGGAGGCTGTAGGACGGCGGCATGAATCCAGCAAGGGCCTGACCCTGGTGACCTCACCCGCCCTCTACAGCTGTGTCCTGCTGCCCTGTCCTCCCTTCAATTCAAGCCACAAGTTGCCAGCACCCCCAAAGCCCAGTGCTTTTCATTCTTTTCCATTGGTTATTCCTACCACAAAAAACTGTGCACGGGGAAGCACCGTCACCCTAGCACTTATCCCTGAAAAACCAGTCACTGCATCTTCTGTCACAAAGTACTTCTGAGCCCTCTGTCCCCACTAACCGCCAGCTTTCAGGGGCAAAGGGACGCTGCCGCGACAGGATGTGAAACCCACCCAGGGGCCCGCATCCCCGATGGACGATGCCCCTGGATGGGCCAGCGCGTGCTGTCTGGCAGGGGAAGGGTCTGAGCGGGGGGTGGGGTGGGGGGAGAGCTGCCAAGACGGATGGAATGAGCAACAGCCAACACACGCCGAGTCTGCGAATTTTTCTGGATTCCTCGAAGGCCCTCCAGGGGGAGCGAGGTCCAGGGGGGCAAAGCAGGGCCAGCTGTCCTCGGATCAGGGCCAGGGGGCACCAGGAGTGTGCAGTCGTCGACTTCCTCTTCCCGCCAGCCCTCCCCAAGCTGGGCTGAAGGACCCGTCTCCATGGTGGGGTCACAGAGAGAAAAGTCAGCGCAGGCTGTGTTTCCAGGCGAGGGACGCGAGGGGCGGGCACAGCGCGTGCCGCTTCTCCCTCTCCCCTCAGGTTCCTGTGCAGGAGGAAGCGAGCCGGGGGCCCCGCTGTCACAGCACTAAGAAGAGGATGAGCACGACCAGGAGGACCACGAAGAGGACAGCGATGGCACACCACTGGCGCCGATCTGGAAGGCAGGACACGACGGTCAGCTCTCCTGGGACTCGACGTCCCCCAAGATACAGTGACAGGAAACTTAAGGCAACACCTGGATGCAGACAGAACGGGCAGAGGCCCTGAACCTGCCCGGGCACCTGGACTCTTACCGCTGCTCTTCCTGGCCTGCACTGCACACACATTCACAGCCCTGCCCGTCCCCTGAAAGCCAGCCTTGTAACAAGTACCTGCTTTGTGTCTCAAGTCTCTAATTAAAATCTATGGATCACAGTTCTCTGCTGGCAGTTACCACGTCCCTGGATAAGATGTTGGCCGTTGGTATTACAGATCAAAGCTCGTCAGCTTTAATCTCCCACCAAAATCAAATCATTTAACTAAACAGTAATCATGTTCTTTTCTTAATGAGCACAGTGGAAGGATAGAAGGGAGATGAAAGCTACTGCTGGTCACTTCAGGAAACAATGAGCTGAAAAAGCAAGCTGCAGTGATCACTGGGTGATGAACTTCACACCACCCCTGGGCAAGAAAGATCACTTAACCAGTAACTGTGTTAAAGTAACTGACACAGCTTATCTATCTATAAATAAAAGTGGAATGTCTTTTCTGAAGCTTTCTGCCCTACTCACGGTGTAGAACAGATGCAGTCAACAAAGTAGCCAGAATCCATCTAAAGGGCTGAGAGCAAGGAGGCCCCGAGGGACAGAAGGACCCACGCAGGCTCCCGCCCACAATCCTGACTGCGTCCCCCTAACTCTCAGGGCTGCTGGGAAAACTACACAACACGAATACCCTTGCACACTCCGTGGGCCCACACTTGGGGCACAGGATGCTGTCTGTCGTCAGGATGCACCCTTCACTTGGGCAGATGTAGGAAGAGCAAGCCTCTCTCCACAGAGGAGCCCTGCTGTTTTGCACAAAGGGTCAAGCTGAGATAAAGCCTGTGACAATGCAGCTCAACTGCTGGAAGTAAGAGTTCCATTTAAGTAGAAATATAAAGGTACATACACTGATTCACCAAAAGTTTACTTGAAAGCCTGCAGATTTTAGCACACCAGAGCTATTGAGAATCACATTATAAAAAGGTCTGAATCTAAGAAAATACACTGCAGAACTCTCCACAAGGCAATGCCAAGTCCACAAAACATGTACTGAAGTTACTTAAATGCCACGGACAGCAAAGTCTTAGAACCGGACAACAGAGCTGCTACCAAACAGTAGTAAGTAAAGCAAGTACCTTCCTAATGGCTCATCCTGCTCTCCATCACACATGCTAGAAACTCACTTAGTAACTTGGGATTAGGGTCAAGACCTCAAGTCCATCTGTTCCTTTTCTGAAACAAGTCTAGTCCAAAAGGCGTGGGGAAGCAGAGCTGGCCTATAATAGTAATAGATTATAGATTATAGTATTAATAGATAATACTATTAATCTGTTTAACTATCACTTCAGTGGGCCAGAAAACTCAAGTACCTAGCATTCTTTCATCTATTTTAAAATGTTTACGACAATTTAAAAGCCCTCTCATTAAAATGATTAGTCTATATTCTAGGATGATACAGTCAAGGTAAATGCTTCCTAACAAGGCATCCTGCCATCTCAGACCTGGATTTCCAATACTGAACCAGCTTCCCGTCAGCCTCTACCCAACCCTCCTCCCACCTCCACTCACTTTCTCTTCTGCAACTGCACTAAATAGGGGTTTTCATCAAGGAGGACAGCCATCACACAAGCTAGCACAACCCAGGAATGCTCTTTTAAATGCACTTTCCTCTGAAGTGTTAAGTTGCTTCTAGGAAGCATGAACTGGGCAACCCCGAGCTGCTACCCTAGCAGACTTCCCCCCAGAAGGGGCGGGTACTAACCACAAGGGCTTTTGTGACCTCAAGTCACAAAACCAGCTTTTTGCAAGCTCAGGACCTGCCTCAAAAAGTCAGGGGGAAAAAGGGGACTCCACAGGTTTTTCCCCCTCCCAATATAGTCTCTTCCCCTAAAGAGAAAAGATGAACAACAGAATTTGGGAAAGTGAGGGGAAGAAAACCTTGGTATCCACACAAAAGAATATACTTTTTGAGGGTAGGAGATTGACAAGATTAGTCTCTCTTGGGTCATTCAAAAAAGTAAGCATGGCGTCTTGGGTGATTTCTGCCCAGGACGCAGCCAGCACTGGGTGGGGCGGAGGTCTCCCCTCTGCAGGGCTGTGGAGCGTGGGCATTCAGTTACTGCCTAATCAAACTTCAGCGTGTCTTGACACTCTTTCTTTATGCACAGGCTTGGTTGAAAAGCAGTAAACTTTCCTAAAAGTTATGGAAGAAAACAGAGACAAACACAAATTGCCTCGTTGTCAAATTGAAGCCAACACCGCCAAGTAGGAGGCCCCCGAGCAATTCTCTGGGGAGCAAACAGAGATTAAAATGAGCCTCACAGGCAAGCTGTCCAGACCTAAGGGCCTTTCAGGCTAAAGGCTCTGTTTCCTGGCTCTCTTTTGTAGACAAACATAACTGAAGTTCTTACTTTGCTCCCCAAACTTTTCTTCTGGGAGAAAGTAGGAGAAGGCATAAGCAGGCCTAGTGCTGTTTATACACACTGAAACGCTTATCACAATGCAAGTACTTTTCTAAATTATTCATACCCAGAATGCTGGGGACAAGGACACAGTGCATCTTTGTTCCGCTGCTCTTCTCCAGACAAAACTGGTGCTGAAGTAACTACTTGACTTTGCGACTAATACATAAACTAGTGAGAGATCTGGTTGAAATTGCTTATATAATACCTCAGTAAAACGCTTTTTTTTTTTTTTTTTTTTTTCAAAGAGGGGTGGGGTGGAAGAGGAGAGAACGGAGGGAAGCAGGAGAGGACTTTGCAAACCTCCCTCTAGGTGTGTGGAAGACGAACTAAGCTGGTGCCTGCCGCAGGCAATGAAGAGCCTGCTAGAAGCATGAGGATATTTGCCCCTGGAGAGAATGAAGGAAACCAGGAAGCTAGGAGCTTCCCTTTGTCTTGAATATAACAGGTCCTTTGCCCCCAGGGCCATCTTCCACCTGTCTTATCCTTTATTCTTTTTCAAACAAACATTTACTATGTACTAATACATGAGAGACACCATTAAACGCTTGTACACTAATTATTATTTCATTTAATCCTCACAATGACCTTGAAGAATGTCTCAGTTCCTCCCTTCACCCGGAGACTCCCACAAATAAAGGGAAAAAAAGATACTGGATTTTCTTTTGACTTAAAAAGGTATTATTTCTCATAAAATAGGGAAGATGGGTTGTAGTAACAAAAAAATAGTCACTGGAAAACATCTTCCTACACAGTAACTAATTTGAAAAACGTTGCTTCTTTATCCCCAGCCTGGTGCAAATTTGCTGGAATAGTTTACTACAAATTTAAATAAAAACAGTTTAAATGAGATCTGTAAGGCCATCTGAAATGGTAGAGGTTTCTCTTTTGGTGAAAAGTCAGTCCAGGAGAAACAGTAACTGGCTCTTAATTACTGTTTTAAAATGAATTCCCTATTTTGGCAAGGAAATAGGAAAGAAAAGAAAAAGAAGGATTTTGTAATTGTAAAGAAAGTTACTCCACCAGAAGGAACGTCATCCAACACCATCAGCCTTGCATGGTGCAGACCGGCAAAGGCACTTCCCAGGTGAAGGCCACGAGCAGAAGATAAAGCCCGTGCATGCTGGTCTTCTACTCTCTGACCCCAAAGCAAGACAAAAATTTGCCAGAGGAAAAGGATCTGAATGGGCACACCTGTGGGAGACCCCATAGACTGTGTCTCTAGAATTTAGTAAGAATTCTCGAGCTTAAAAGCACATACATACCACTGGTCATATGAGATACTTTTGCAAGTTTCTTCATCACATTGTCCAGCCGAGACTGAGTGCTCTCCAACTCGTGAGAGAAATCATCCAACATACTAGAAAGACAAGCAGACGCAGGAGGCAGCTGGTCAGCACAGTCTCCAGATACACTGGCCAATGGATCCGGGCCTCAGTTTTAGCAAACATCAAACAGGCAACGTTGGGATCAAGCCCCCAGTCTTTTATCCTTAGGACAAGGTATGTTTTTGATTTCAGAATTTTGGAAATTTAAAGAAGTAGTAAGTTACATACACTGTGTATTAGCTAAGCCCCCAGCAGGGTCTGGGACAGTCCCCATAATCAAATACACAAGTTACTATTTCGGCAAAGAAAACTATGAGGAGTCATAGCTGCAGTCAGTTCAGGTTAGGTTTTTCTGTAACATGAGCCTGCTGAAAAGTTTTTTAATTTTGAATTTTTTAGAGCTTTCTAGATTTCAGAATTGCAGACAAGGCCAGTGTGGACCTGACCATACAATAATACAAACTCAGCAGCAGTGCAGTGTAGCAGAAAGAACGCTGTGTGAAGCCAGACAACCAGGCTTTGCCACTTGCTACCTTGGACAAGGGACCCTGTTTGCTTATCTGTAAAATGGGGCAGTCCTATCAGCGCAGCTTCCCTGCCAGGATTCCTGTAATACACAAAGCACTTTACAGCAATGTGAGTTAAGAAATACACTTTGATCAAATAAGCACCTCCTTTAAGGCACCCTGTGCTTTATCATAAAGCTGGCGGCCTCAGGACTGAGTTCCTGACCATGTGGGCGCCTCATCTACACCCACAGAGAACAAGCTCACACTGGTTGCTGTCCAAGGTGCAGGTGGGAAAGAAGACGCCAAAAATACTTATACCAACGGTGTTTATTTCATAAATTACTAAGCATTCCAGACTTTTCAACTTAAGATTGATATATGATTATCCTGAGGCTAGAATGTGACATACCAATTAGTGCCGGAGGGCTTATTAACAAGGCTTTATTCCTCTGGCAGCATCAAGGGCAGCTAGAACTACTGGTCTTGGTCTGTGCCCACACGAGGCACCTGACAGCCCTGTAGAATTCCGGCAACCAACTCCTCATTAAGTCAATCATTAAATAAACTCCATGTTGACAACTAAATAAACAGGCCTTTGTCCCTTACCTGAATTTTCAAATTAAAACATTTTTAGCTCATTTTAGATCCTGGTAGCATCTGGGCCCTGCAGCTGGTGGACCAGACCTATCCAGGCAGGGCCAAATGCTGAGCTACTTTTCTTACTAAAGACAAAAACGGGTAAGTCATCCAACCTCCAGCCCAAGTACACCCACTAACCACCCACTAACCAAGTTTCTTAGCCCAGCTCTAACTAACTCAGCGCTGTCCAAAAGAAGTACAATGTGAGTCACATATGCCGCTTAATATTTTTAGTAGCCACATTAAAAAAGGGGGGGGAATTAATTTTAACAACCTATTTAGCCCAATATACCTAAAAATTATCATTTTGACATGTAATTTTACATTTTATTCATACTAAGTCTTCAGAATCTGGTATGCATTTACACTCAGGGCCCTTCTCAGTTCAGACTGGCCACATTTCATGTACTTGATGGCTGGTGGCTATTGTACTGGACAGCACAGGTCTAAGTCCAAGACCCGTGTTTTTTCCTTTTAATTTACTTACTATTTTTATTAGAGTTATACACATACACGGTTTGTAGAGCTAAACAGACCTACGAGGCCTCTTATAAAAAAAAAAACAGTTGTCTCGCATCCCCGAGGGCCACTGCTTTCAGCCCCTCACACTATTCTCTCGGTGCTTTCTCCAGTTTTTGAAGCTACACGCTGGCACCTCAGTATCCCGACCCTGCTGACTCCGCACAATGAAAAGCTAGGGCTTAGCCCTCCACCCATTCCATACCCCCCATCAGCATCCTTCCCAGTTCTCTTCCCCCTTCCTTCCTTCCAATATAATTGGGTCACAGTTTGATAAGGTCAACATTCAGGGTTTACACTATCATAAGTGAGGAAACGCTCCTCTCCCAACTTGGGGGTTTGGGGCATGAATCACACCGCTCCTTGGCTCTCCCCTCTGCTAGCCAAGGATTTGGCTTTCTCAGGTCTGCTGAGTCAGTAACCATTCATTTCTTTTGCAGTATCTAAAATGTTAAGGTCATTGCTTCTTATTCCAAGCTCTATGTCCCCATAGATTTTATGCCGTTAAAAAAAAATTCCCGGGCTTCCCTGGTGGCGCAGCGGTTGAGAGTCTGCACGCGTTTGTGTCCCGGTCTGGGAGGATCCCACATGCCACAGAGCGGCTGGGCCTGTGAGCCATGGCCGCTGAGCCTGCGCGTCCGGAGCCTGTGCTCCGCAACGGGAGAGGCCACAGCAGCGAGAGTCCCGCGTACCGTAAAAAAAAAAAAAATTCCCTCTGTTCCTGTTCCAGTGGACTTTAGAGAAAGAGCAGAGATAAGAGGTTGTGTTCAGTTCACCATCTGTAACCAGAAGTCTGCCAGGCTCTACCTCTACCCAACCAGGGAAATTGCTCAAGTAATTAGTCCTTTCCCATCCCCACAATACATTTGAGGGTAAGAATGCATTTTAGACAAATTAAACTGCATGCCTAGATTCTTATTCTGCCAGCTTCCGACCTGGTCTCCCTGCTTCCAGTCTTTTCCACTGTGGTTCATCATCTAAACCACAGAACGATGGGCTTCCCCCAAAACATAAACCTGACCACAGCATTACTAACACAACCTTCGCTGGGGTTGTGTTTCCCACTGCCCTTTGAATAAAAAGTCCGAGGCTTCTAGGGCCTTCCCTGATCTGTTCTCTGCCTCCCTGACTTGACTTCTGCAACCTCCCTCTCAATCCCCATGCTCTAGACACACTAAACCTCTCTGTTCTGTGCACTTTTTCACCCTGAAATCGTCACAGGGCTGGCTCTTTCTTCCTTCCGGTAGGCCCTCCCCTCTGCCCCGCTTCTCCCACCGTCTCACCCCACCTGGCTACCTTCTACTCATCCTTCTGGTCCCAGTTAAACCTCTCTTCTCTTCTCAGGGACTTTAGACTGAGTCAGGTCTGCAGTTTAGACTATTAGGGCCCTCAAGACACCACGCATCCCCTACCGCAGTAGCCTAGCCCTCCACTTCTGTCATCACTTGACGACTTGCACCATTTATGCAACATCTGTTCCATCCAGTGACCAGTAAACTCTAATGGCAGGGACACTGTCTATTCTCTGGGCTCCTCTGTGGATACCCAGGGGCCTTCCAGTAGAACAAGATGCCCAGTTTGAATCTGTAATGAATGAATCCATAACGTTGAACACAAAATCGAGGTAGGAGAGTTTCTGAAATATCCTAGTAGAACGATTATTTTTTTTCAGAAAAGGTATTTGTGAAATGGTAAAGGTATTATATATATATGGTAGAAATTTAAGAATGCTGTTTTTGGTGTCATACTTCAGGAGTGCACAGACATTGTTCTTAAGGAAAAAACAAATCCAGTTATATTTTCTTGTGTTTTCTTCTTTTTCTTTTTGTGGGGGAAGAATTTTTTTATCAGTTGGAATTAAATTGATACTTTTTCCCCCTTAAAATTAAAATTAAAGATACAGAGCAGAAAGTCCAGTTGAATGTAGTGGGAGAGGCACGGGATGTTAAGTTAGCCCGTGTCCCATCCTCTTTGGGACAAAAGTCTCCACAGAGCTTACACAGCCATATCAGTTTCACACTCCCATTCACAACAATACTTCAAATAACTGTTTGGAGGAATCTGTTCCTGTTTTTGCAGGTGTTTAAAAATGTTAATAACTTTGCCTAAACCCTGTGGAAAATTGTATCTGACAGATTCGCTTCTTTTGGAGAGGCCATTCTGTGAAACAGAATAAAGATGCAGCTATAAACAAAATAGCTTTTGGTTTTACCAGCCATGTAACTGTCAGGCTCTTTACGGGTCCTTAAGACGGCTTTTCCCGCCATTTCTCTGCGGCGAGAGGGGCATCTCGGTACTCACACTGCCTGCTCCTCCAGCTCCCCTCCGATGCGTTGGGACATGTTCTTCAGCACCCCGATGCTGCCAGAGACCAGCTCCAACTGCTCATCCTGCTGTTCCACGATCAGCTGGTGCCAGAGAAATGGGAAATCAGCAATTAAAATCCATCTTACCTGGTTCCAAGCCCAGCACTCTAGCAGCTGCTAGCTTCCTTGCCAACTCGGGACAATTCACATTCAGAAGCAAAGCCCAGAAATCAAAGGACCAGACCGTTGCCTCGGAGAACACGCTGCTCAAAAGGCTGGGTTGTAAAGCTACTGATCTCCCCTGCTGATCCAACTTGTGAACAGTCAGCGGGGCTTGAAACCACCCAGAGAGATTTACCCTGGTTGGCTGAAGTCCAACAAGGGACAGACAATGGCCGAAAGCACCTGTGCAGTGACCACAGACACATGGGGACGCTTGGGAAGAGGAAGCCCGCTGCCAGGGTCAAGGTCTCAATCGGCAACAGCCGGCCACAGCTTAACTACAAGAGAAAGTCTGGCAGATCTCTAGATGTGGGAAAACTACGCACATAGAGTCCTTTGCTCCCTCCTCAAGGACAACTAGAGGAGGCTCTGTGACAGCAAGCAGACGACTTCAGAGCCATAGTTACTTTTAACTGTGTTGCAGTCACCTCACTTTTTATTAAAAAAAAAAAGTGTGCTTGGTTAATAGCAATGTAAGTAGACAAATGGTTAAGCAGACATGCTAATAGAACAACAACAAAAGAACACATAACCTACATTGAATATATAAAACACAGTATTTAAGAACCAGTAGTTTTGATGGATAGATAATCCTCAAATCCCCAGATACTTTATTATTAGCTTCCTTTTATTAATACAACTACATATCAAAAGCAACAATACAAGGGTAATCAACCTCACTTTCCTTCTACCCCTTAACCTCCACCAAAGCAATCATTTTTATATATAATGGAACCAAAAATTTCAATGAAAAAACAAGGGCTGAATTTTTCTCGAAGTGCCTTTGTTAAAATGAACAAAAGCCGAGCACAGAAGTGGAGGCTGGGGAAGAGGCTGCTGTGTTTTTAAATCAATGGCCTCCTCTGTCAGTTTCGGGTGTCTGGTCTGCTTGTCCTAAGAAATCTAATCAAGATTGGTTCTCTGGAAACTGTCATGCTCTGAAGGACGTTTTAAACAGCCTTTCTATATGCAATCATCACACAGGTAGACTCAGGCAGCTGCAAGGCGAGCTCTGGTCCATCCTGCCTGTCATCAGCAACAAAGCCCCCGGGGTGGCAGAGGAGCGGGGAGGGAGGTACCTGGCCTCCCACCTCCCTGTGCTCAGCTGGTGGTTCTCAGGTACCTGCTGCTGTGCCTGTTGCTCCTCGATGAAATGGGAGTTGGCCAACTGGAGCTCCCGGTCAAGGCGCCCATATTTATCCATCGTTCCAGTGCTCCAGTTCTGTCCGCCACTGTCTCCTAGCAGGGCCTGCGAGAGTGGGGCAGGGGGCAGCAGGGCAGAAGAAACAAACCATTACTATCTCTGAACAACTACCCCATCACCATGGTATAAACATTTCTCCCAGTGCTCATAAGCTGGCCTCCCTGGGGTCAGCCTTTTATGTAGTGGTGTAGGGTAGTGCCTGTGGGGTACAATTTAAGGAATGCCAGGAAGGGTACTCTCTATTTCCAAGCTCTCCCAACGGGACTCACAAATGGGCTCTGTCCCATTAAAATGCCAATAAATGTCAACTTGAAATCAAAAAACACCCATCTGTGTACTGCTTTGTGGATCTAAAGGCACTTGGTCTCTGTGGGCCAGCTCTTCCTAGCACCCTTGGAAGTTCACAAGAGACCTGCTGTAGGTTCTAGTCTAACTGATTCCAGACAGCTAGAGCCCTTTCTATTTAAGTATGACCCAGGGAACTTTTGGTTCTTTGGAGGGGGAAGGAGAGAGTTCCCTAAAATGACAAGAAGCTAAGTCACAACCCCTCACACACAGAAGGCGCAAGAACCATCGATGTGTATTCAATGTAACCTACAGATAAATCCCAATGCCCTTCGGGTGAACTAAAAGGCTACAGGTTTCCCAGACAGAACTGGGGGTTGCTTCACCAGGCAGCATGGCCACAGCGGGTGCGTGACCCTGATGACCCAGGCAAGCGTTGGCCCTAGGTCAGTTCTCGACCTGGGCCCCCAGACGCCAGGGTCAGGTTTCTCAGTGTGAATTTGAGGAAGTTTGTAGCCAGAAAAGGATAAGTTTGGGAATGTCTTCCTTCCTTGAAGAGGCCAGCCAGCAATGTGAGCTGGCCCTGCCTGGAATGCCCACAAGGCTTTCTGACTTGGCCAAAGTACTGCTCAAACCAGCCCTGCACAAAGAATCAGAAGAAGCTGGCGAATAGGATTCCTCTCCCTTTTAGAGCTGTCAGATCTTCTCACCAGGTACTTTTTAGCTCTGGAATTGTTAAAAGCCTACCTGACTACTTGGTTCTGTCTGAAAAGCCCTGCCATAGCCCCTCAATGTTGAGACATTAGCCTCACCTGACGTTCAGATGTGAATTCAGTCAAATGGCCACACCTGAGGCTAAGTTCAGGGACGCTCAGGATGCATCTTAGGTTCTGATGCAGTCATGAGAAGAAAATCAGGAGGCCTGAGAGCTTCCAGCAGCCTAGGGCCTCAGTCAAGAGTCTGGATGGTAACTGTCTCTGGTATAAGGCAGACCCAAGGCTTTTTGGGGATGGCTCTGCTCCAAACTGGCTGCAGGGCTGTCAAGATTTCAAAGGTCCTGCTCGTTCTGATGCAAAGGCTCTAAGGACTCTATGGAGGATACTGGGGCCTAGTGATAATTTTTTCAAGGTCAGAGAAAGGCTACAGTGCGTCATTAGGCTACGGGCAGAGAACTGGAGCTCCCGGGGTCACAGTCAGGGCTATTTTTTCTAGCCTACCTATGGCCTACTCTTGGGTGGACATATGTCATGCTGCTGAGAGTCATCTGTGCTTTATTGTGAAGCAGTTTCGATTTCCTCAGTCTGACCTCCGGGAGTCTGGTTAGGGGGAAAGAAGACAGAGGGCCCGGAGCACCAAGGACCAGCCTGTGTGTAGGTGCCAGAGCAGGAGGTCCCAGCTAAGCAAGGAGCACCTGGTGCTAGATGAAGCATCGAGGTGGACTGTGCCTGTGTGAGTGCTTAGAGAACCCTGGCCCCGCTTTTCCTTGAAACCCTGTGACTCGGAGACATTTTACTCACCGCCCAAAACAAAATTCCCAGCCATACTTGGAAAGGCTATGTATAAACACACATTTTATTTACGTTAGTTCAAATATACTATCTAGAGAATAAAAATTCAAATAGAAGTAATAGAGGAGAGGTGTTACTATTCACTGTCGAAACAACTGATGCTTCAGGTAACTGTCACTCAACTTCTGTACGCTGAAGCAGAAACGAAAAGGGGACTCCAAAATTTGGCCAGCCTGCGGCCGTTCACTCGCTTCTCTTAAGAGTTAGTGCCAGACGGGATGGCTAGCTAATGGCTTTCCTAGCTGCACTGAGAAGAGCAAGGACAGTAAATGGGAAGGAACAAACAATGACTTGGAAAATGAGATGCAGGGAAAGGAAACAGGATTAAGTTAGGTGATATTTAGAGAGTCCTCTTCCCTTTTTCAAGCTTTTATAATACTTGTTTTCAAAATTAAGTGGGTCAAGAAACACCTACAGGTATAAAGTGAGCATTTACATCATAAACTACTGATTCCTAGTTAGTTAAAAATGCTGAGCTGATTTCTTGAGTTAACAGTCTACTAAATTCAAGGACTGGGTCTCTTGTAGCTTTTATTTTTAATTTTTATCTGGGCTTTGGTTTCTGAAATTAGGTTTCATAATTTATTTGTAATAACTTATAAAAACTGGACCTCACATCAAAAAAACAAAAGATACTTAAAATGGTGAAAGGTTTAACACATTAAATTAACACACATTTAAGTTTCCTCAAATGCTTTACATAAAATTTCAATCATTAAATGTCTAGTGAGTTCTATGCATAGGCAATGTAACAGCAGCTAGAAATAAAAAGAAAAAAGAAGAGAAAAAAGACCATGACACCATCCCTCCTAACTCACAAAGGAGCTTGAGGTCCAGCAGAGAAAGTAAGCAATTACAGCTCTTAACAGAGCGCCTGGTACACGGAATATGCGCAACAGGTGCAGAATAAATGGCCTGTGGCAAAGGCTCTAAGGTACGCAGAGGGTGCAACCGGAGCCCAGAGGAGGGAACCAGAGGGTGTGAGGGAGGGGAGCAGAGGCGAGGCTGCCTGCCAGCATCACTACGGGCTCATCACACAAGGTCGTCTGCTTGAATACATGATACACGAAGTCAGAATTTTTAAATTCCAAATATCTCTGTATTTTCTTTGATTGATACTGTATATTCTGACATTTACCCACCTGTCTATTTTTCCTTTCAGCTAATGCCTGCACAGATGAAGTTGACATCTGATCCTTCATGTCCTAATGGGATAAATAGAACACCAGAAAACAAATGAACATCCTTAAACAAAATCATCGTTAATATTTGCACACTAGCCAAATATGCATAATTTATTATTAATTTTTAAACAAAAATACAGCATTCTTTGACCTCTATTTTCAGTCTCAAAAATAAAGGAAATAAAGAGAAGGACATGCCCTTAAAAAGAAGTAACCTGGATACTAAATTTAAATATGAGGAAAGAGAAAGTACTTCCTGGGTACCTACCATAGGCCGGAAACACTGTTAAAACATGTACACATATGATCACTGACTTTCCACAATGCCCCTGTGAAGCTGGTATTACCTTCATTTTACAATTGAGGACACTAAGATCTAGAAAGACTAAGTTACTTTCTCAAGGTCACATAGCCAGTAAATGGCAACCCTGAGGTATACAAACAAAAGCTGTGTTCAAGGGCTAGCATCTTTAAGTATAATACATGTAAAAAAAACCACGTGCTTTATGATAAAGTATATTTACCATTACACGCCAGAGAATATTTTCAAATAGTGATAAGCAGGTAATGTATTTTATTTGAGTTGCGTTCATGTGAAGTATAGACTATTTCTAACAACAGTATTTTCCAGAGTGGTATCAAAAATAATTTTGTATGGAAAGAAAAATGAATTACTTAATCTAAAACAAAACACTTGGGGATTCCCTGGTGGTACAGTGGTTAAGAATCCACCTGCCAATACAGGGGACACAGGTTCGAACCCTGGTCCAGGAAGATCCCACATGCCACGGAGCAACTAAGCCCCAGTGCCACAACTACTGAGCCTGCGCTCTAGAACCCATGAGCCACAACTACTGAGCCCATGTGCCGCAACTACTGAAGCCGTGCGCCTAGAGCCCATGCTCCACAACAAGAGAAGCCACCACAATGAGAAGCCCGCACACCACAACGAAGAGTAGTCCCTGCTCACTGCAACTAGAGAAAGCCCGCGTACAGCAACGAAGACCCAATGCAGCCAATAATTTTAAAAATAAAATAAAACGCTTTATTAAATATGAGCCATTTGCATCATATTTAACTACAACCCAATATACTTTAAAATGATTTCAGCTGAGTACATGATTATTATAATACAATTTTTCTTGGGAAAAAAAAGGATGCCAAAATACTTTATAATTTCCTGTTGGCAAGTGGGCTATTTTAGAGGTGCAAATGTTGAAGTATTAGGCTTTAAAAAACTTCTTCCAAGACCCACGACAAGTGAATGGTAGAGGAGACAGTGCCACAGCTTTCCTGATTCCTACTATGAGAAGTCTGAATGACAACCACCTTGCTGCAACCTTCAAACTGCCCGATCCCTCGCTCAGCAAATACCGACTGATGCCCAGTGTGTGCCAGAGCACAGCAGTGACGATACAGACAGTGTCCTTGCCTGACGGAGCTCACGTCATGGTGGACAAGAGGCAAAGAGCAGTCACACACACACTTCAACAGGGTGACTAGCATTTTGGGAAGGAAGGGAGTCAACGGGGCTGAAATCCAGTGGGTGAACGCCACTTTAGAAAGATGGGGGTGACACCTAATCGAGACCTGAGGGCCGAGAATGAGCCCACCACAGAAGGAGCAAGGGCAGAGAATTCCAGGCAGAGGAAACAGCAAGCACAAAAGCCTGGAGGCAGGAAAGGCTCAATGCTTTAGCTTTTGAGAAGGAAGGCCCAATTGTCTGAAGGAGCCACTGTGTGCTGGGTGTCGGAGGGAGGGTGTAAGACAAGTCTGGCCAAAACACGCAGGGCCTTCAGGCTGCTTAGATTTTATTCTGAGGCAGTGGTTGGCAAACTTTTTCTGTAAAGGAGTAGATATTAAATATTCAGCCTTTGTCACATTTTTTTTTTTAACCACCCTTTAAAAAATGTAAAACCATTCTTAGATCTCATAGGCCACAGACTGTAGGCCCCTGCTCTAAGGCAACGGAAAGCACTTAAAATATTTTGAGCAGGGCCATGGAGTACTCTGGTTCATGTTTTAAAAGATCACTTTGGTTATTCTGTGGGGAAAATGTTGGCAATTAAGCAAAGCAGAAGTAAAGAGATCATTTTACTGCCACACATTAAAGTGCTGCCCACGATGGGAAAGGGTGCCTCTAGGAACAAGTGCCCTGACGTTGGGGGCCTTTAACAAGAGGGTATGTGAGCCTTTGGAAATGACACTGGGCAAGTAGGGTGTCGTTCACCCACTGGATTTCTGAGGGTGCTCTACCTGGGGTCCAGTTGACCCATAAATTCTAAATTTTATCTGTTCACAAACCTCAAAAGAAAAAAGAAATTATAAGAATGCCACCCACAGAAACAGAAAAATTTACTTAGTAAAAAAAGTATTCACCATAAAAATGGAGGTATTGGTACGTTTAAAACAAGGGAAACTTAGTGATATAAGCCATGTTTCTTAAATGTTTGAGATCTACCTGAGTCAGTCACCTGAGGTGCTATTAAAAATGCAGGTCCCTGGACCCCACCCAGCCCTACTAAGTCAGACTCTAAGGAACAGTTTAACAAGTCTCCCAGGTGAGAAGCTGTTTGAGAAGCTCGGATCCCCACAAATTCTAGAAGCCTTCAAAAGAGACCATTATGCTGTTATCTCCTGGACTGCAGGATTCCTTTTCTAATTATCAATTAAATTGGAGTTTAAGATGATATTCTGATATTCAAACAATATGAATAGTACAATCCCATTTATTTAATATATATTAATAACTACCCAAAGCAAATATCTGAATTGTTCACTGGTGGGATAATATATGCTTTTTTTTAATGCATTTAATACATTTTACGGTAGCCTTTTTAAAAATAATGGACATTACTTGCATAATAAAAATATCAGCCCACATGTATGGAAAAAGTGACTTTAAAGTTCCAGTTGAACTTTGAACACTGTCTGTAGAATGTGCTTTTGCTGTTAGAAGGTAGGACAGTGAGGGGGGCAGTAATGACTGTAAAAGCACACAAGGGGGCTTCTGGGGGGTGCTGGGAATGCTCTGGAATGCTTCTGGGTCTGCTTCCATGGTTGTGATCAGTTTATAAACTCTTTAAACTGTACATTTGGGGTACATGCACTTTTCTATACTATTATAACTTAATAAAAATGTTTAAAAGAAAATACTGCTCTTGAACAATGGCTGGAAGGTAAACTAGACCAACCCTTTGAAAATAAATTTGGCATTTTGTATTAAGAGCTTTGATATTTGTAACAAATATCCACTGCCTTGACCCAGTAATTCTAACAGGATTTATTTTAAGGAAACGATAGAAAATATATACTGAAACAGATATGCAAAGATGTAAACTGCAGTGTTATTTACAATATGAAAGAAAAGTAGAAATAAGCATCATATCCAAACAAGAGAATAGTAACTTACAGTAAACCTATACACAATATAATATCATGTACTAGACATTACACTTAGGAAGAGAGTTCGGTGAACAGACAATTCACAGAAAAACACAAATGATCAAACATGAAAAGATGCACTAACCCATTAATAATCAAAGAAGTGAAAGTTAAGAGATATGTTTCCCAGTTAGATTGGGAAAGATGAAAAAGATGAACACTACTTAGTGTTGATATAGGTATTAAGGAACACGGAATCTACACTCTGCTTTTAGAAATATCATTGATAAGGTCTCTTTGCAGGATACTTTGAAAATATTAACCAATGTTTTAAATGTGCATTTTCATTGAACTTTTTAGTACTTAAATATTCAGGATATGCTCACAAAGATGGTTCCTGAAGTAAGATTTGCAATTGCCAAAAATTAACAACCACCTAATATCTACCAATAGGGTCAATGATCAAACAGATCATAATAGAACCAGATTAGAGAAGAGGTTAAGAGCATAGTCTTTCATGTCAAAGACCTGGGTTCAAGCTTAGTTATGCTTTTTCGTAACTATGCAAAGTTGCGCAAATTACTCAATTTTTCTAAGTGCCTGTTTCTTCTGTGTAATATTTTATAGGGTCATTGTGGGGATTGATAAAGTATGCAACCATTAAAAAGGATAATCGAAATCTACTCTATCCAATAGCTATTAGCCAATTACGGTTACGTATTGATCTCATGAAATGAAGTCAGTGCAACTGAGGAATTAAATTTTTAATTTTATTTAATTTTAATTAATTTAGATTTAAATTCAATTACTGGAAAACTTTCACATGTCTGGAAAATACTTGGTGTGCAAACCAACCTTTTCAACTGTATTATAAACTCTAAATGTGATGAAGCATCCCCAATGAAAAGTTCACTTCTGAATTGAGATATCCTTAAGTGTAAAATATATGCCAGACTTAGAAGTTTGAGTAAAAAAAAGTTTTAAAAATTTAACAAAAAATCTCTATTACTTTTATATTGATTATACGTTTAAATAATAATCTTCTGGATATACTAAGTTAAAAAATACATTAAGTTCACTGTTTCTTTTTACTTTTAAAGTATGACTACTAGAAAATTAAAGATAGCTTGCATTTTAGTATTTCTATTGGACAGCACTGGTCTAGATATATCTGTACTGATATAAGACTATGTCCACAGTATTTTTTCATAGAAAAAAATTACAGACTAATGTCATTTCTTTTAAAAGTGTATTTCAATGTCTATAAAATGGCTAGAAAAAATACTTAAAATTGTGATTTTTTTTAGGGAGTGGAATTACAGAATGGAGAGGCATTTCACCTTAATCAAAATTATCTGCGGGGCTTCCCTGGTGACGCAGTGGTTGAGAGTCCGCCTGCTGATGCAGGGGACACGGGTTCGTGCCCCGGTCTGGGAAGATCCCACATGCCGCGAAGCGGCTGGGCCCGTGAGCCATGGCCGCTGAGCCTGCGCATCCGGAGCCTGTGCTCCGCAACGGGAGAGGCCACAACAGTGAGAGGCCCGCATACCGCAAAAAAAAAAAAATTATCTGCATTTTAAAAATAGTATGAATTACTTTTAATTTTAAAAATTAAAATAAAAAATGCTTATGACTGCATAACAGTATGATCACAACTATGTAAAAAACAACAAAGTTTTGTGTTTACGTTTCTTATTTTGAGTTTAGATTTTTCTATTTTTTCCTCTTGTAAAATTTTTCTAATTTTCTTTGAAATGAGCACGCGTTACTTTAATGAAATACACGGTTTAAAGTTCCAGTTTTAAAATTTTCTGTTTAATAAAATATGTGTGTGTGGGTATATGTTAGCTCTGATGGTCAGTGAACTCAACAGCTGTGTGGTGCGCATCCTGTTTGGGGCCATGGCAGATGGTAAAGAGCTATGGCTTTCACTTTCAGGATGGCACTTTTTTTATGTAGTATAAAAGTTGCCAGATACCATACCACAGATTACCTTCTTATTAGGATATGGAATTTTAAACTATGTCACTAAACAGTTTTGAGCATTTTTTAACCACCTGTCATGCCAAAAACATAATTACTCATCTTTAAAAAAACAAAACAAAACAGTTATTTGTTGTTGTTTTGGCCACGCTGCGCAGCTTGTGGGTAGTTCCCCGACCAGGGATCGAACCCGGGCCCTTGGCAGTGACAGCGTGGAGTCCTAACCACTGGACAGCCAGGGAATTTCCTCATCTTCTTTCTAATACAAGAAGTTTAGAACAAGCAGTCAAGACAGCAGTTAGTACCGATAAAAAATGGTTCACCTGCCAAAAGAACAACAACAGTCCCGGTTGTTTATGCTCCTATTCCCATTTTATGCCATCTTCCAAGCTGAGTGAACGGCACACTACAAATCCCAGTGCTTCCCACTCAGAGGAGTCACATCCCAGTGTCATTTGTAACCACAGAGTATGACTCACCCTTTTTGATTAACCAAAGCCATTTCTATCTTGACTTATAACTGATTACCAGTTATAGTAGTTTTAAAACCTCTTGGGTTTTAAGAGGTTGGATTTTGGGGAGGTGGTGCTGTAAGTTCTGACTGCCTTTGAAAGTTTAAACAAAGTTGGAGAATGTTAGTGAGGATCATTTAATTGATAAAACTGAGATCCAGAGAGGCTAAATGACTTGCCACGCTGAAAAGTTATTAAGGTCTCAGCTGAGCCTAGAACTCGGGTCTCCTCACCTCTCTCACTGTTCTGCCATTCACTGCAAAACCTTTCACTACTAAATTAACCCAACATCACTTCTGCAATAGATTTCCATAACACGAACATCTCACAAGCGAAAACTCTGATGTATACATGACTCCACAAACGTAAAAATGGTGACCTCAAAAATACCAAGGTTATATAAACAAAAACAAGAATGTTTTGCTTTCTCTAGTAAAAACTGCCATCAAAACTTAATAAAAAACTGCACAAACTTAAAAGACGTTTTGAAAAACATATACAAAACTTTTTAAACAAAAATGACTTATTAAAAAACAAAAACAGTGGACACTGAGAAGATAAACAAAAATAACTTATTAAAAAGCAAAAACAGTGGACGTTAATTGAGAACAAACACAAGAGAAAGATTTAGTTCTTCAGGTAGAACAGCAACAAAAGATGTATAATGCCCTAAGAAGGGGAAAGCACAATTGGCATACACTGTGGATCAAAAGGTATTCCTTTAAGCAACTAAATGAAAACCCACTGATAATGGTAACAGGAGCTTACATAAACTTGTGACGTACAAATTCCTAATCTGGGCTTGGTCTTGTGTTTCATTTCCCAAAATTGCTAACTCTCTGATCCCACACTATCAATGTCCTCCAAGTGGAACCCAGAGAGTTCTGGATACAAATACTGTTCAGCTGTATGCAATAATATTGAATCAACACAATGCTTTTTTTTAAAAAAAGCAATCAAGTTAGCATCAATTACTACTTCTCTTCTACAAAACCTCAATTAGAATTTATTAAAATCAGATGAGCAAAAACTCAGTTAGGTACCATTAACCCATCACCAGCAAATAGTAACAGCTTTCAAAAAGGAGTAATAAATTAGAAGAATGATTAAAAACTCTGAACCATTCAGTTGGGTCACACAGCTGAGTACAGTTTAGATCTCAACTATAAAAGGACTGCAACATTATGAAGTATGGACTTGATTTAGAATACTTCTTTCAAAGAACGTATTATAAAATGAACTTTGGATTATACTTCCAATTACACCAACTCACTTAACTTTTACTTTGTTGACCTCTGAATTTCAATGTGCAGTATTTACAAGTACTACCTTGCAGAAAAACAAATATAATGATTAAAGTCAAGAATATACGCTTCACTGCAAGGCACCATTTAAATACCAACATCTACAGAAGTCATTTTCAGAAAAATCTATCACAAAAAATTTAAAAAGCACACACTACATTTATAAAATAAGGAGTTGGGAAATTATTTACCTTACCAAAAAAAATACATCACCCAACAACAGGGCTTCCTTATCAGAATAGCCTCTGAACTGGCTAGAGACTAGGAGTGTCTAATCCAAATGTTCATTGTATAGATGGGGCACCTAGGTCTAAAAAGGTTACTGCCCCCATTACAATGTGGGTTTATTTCTAAACAATTTAGGTACATGGATACAGAAAGGCAACTAATGAGTAAAGGAACAAGAATATTTAAAGTGCAGTGATAACCTACCATCTGAAATAATTTCAAAAGGAAATCACATGACATGGAGTCTTTGGCAAGCACACACCAAGGTTCCCGCCTAAGATGACTCTTAAAAAGCCATATGTTAGCACTGGTATGATCCCAAGTCTTTTTATTCAAGGAAGCTGCTTTCTAGTACATATGTTAAAGACAGGTGGTTCTCCTACATCTAGTTATGCTAATCAACTGGCTTAGCCATATAGTTTCAAAATACAAACATATCTTAACGATACAAGATTTCACTGAAATGCTATTTTCTCTTAGGTTTTTTTAATAATAGGTTATTATCTAAATAATTTGAGACTGAAGATTTGTTCCCTTGGATTGATTTTTTACACGCTGATAGATGCTTGCTTGCTCTGGATAACTCCCGAAAGGCTGTCAAGCAGTTGTATATGGAAATGTCAGTAAATGGGTTGCAAGAGTTCCAGAAGCAATTCAGATGGTGGAAGAGGCCGCCATCCAAACCCAGTAAGAGTACCCTTCACAATGCAAAGGGATTACCAATCAATCAGGAAAGCAAATGGTTTCTACAATAGCAGTTCTTCTTTTTGTCTAGAAATACAGTATACTAAGAAAAAAAGAGGAAAAAAGATAACTGGTTTGGAGGAATGAGAGGTATGGACAGGAAGATTACAGCAACCTTCCCAAAGCCAGCAGCCTACTCTCTCATTTTTGCTCTGAGAAAAAAGCCTGACCGATACTAAAAACAGATTTCTTTTCAATCAGAGAAATATGTAGAAAACTGGCATTTAATTCATATTAAAAAGGAGTTTCAGAGTTGACCTATTAGTTTAAATTAAAGGGAAGAGTTCAGAGAAGTCTGGCTATTTCTTGCACAAATAACACAGTAAGATCACATCCCTTACCCTGACGACTTGCCGAGTACTTGTGATGAAAGCTTTTCTTATACTCAATTCGGTTGCATCGAGGTTGAATTTCCTAGGATTTGCTTCGACTATGCGTGGGTCAAAAAGTCAAGGTAAAGCAATTTCATCATCGAAAACCTAACAACCAACATCATGTGAAACCACAGAATCTCTCACAGCAATAAAATCTGGCCCAGCGTTTCTGAACACAGAGTCAACTTGACACTAATCATTCTCAAACTTTCTCTGCCCACAGCTAGATGAGGATCCTTGTGCCCCGAGGCAGAGATGACCTGCCTGGGTTCACTGCAAACCCATGGGTGTCTGACCACAGCTGAGCTGGGCTCTTCCAGATGCCTGCCAGCACTTTTTTGACTCCAGATCACCTCTCCCAGGACAGCTTTTGTCCTGGAAAACAGCAAGCTGTTTTCATTTACCATTCCAACTCATTCCACTTCTGTCAAGAAGCTAACTCTGCTTCTTAACCTAGAGATCGAGGCTTCTTTTGTGAAGCTTTCCTGCTCTCCTCACCCCCAGCTTGGTTCTGCTGCCCCGTGTCACTCACGTGGCTCTCTGTACTTATCTCTTATCATCTGCAAGTATACACTTGTGCCAATATTTGACTGTCTGTTTCTCCCACCCCCAAGTCCCTCTATACTCCCATGGTAAATTCTACAAGGGTTGGTATAGTTTTGCTTATCAATCCAATCTCAGTAACTAACAAAATGTCCAGCACATAGCACACTCAATAACTACTGCTGAATGACGAATATCTATTAAAACTTTTGTCCTCTTATCTCACAATTTCTCTATCTCCCCCAATCTTTTTCTCATCCCTCCTACCTCGAGGGAAGACATATCTCCCTGCAACTGTGCTTTTGCTCCCACTCCCTCACATATTTTGTTCCACTAGTTTTAGAGAACACATTTGTCTTTTAATAATTTAAAAGGTGCCCCGGGGTCACTGTGATTAATAGAAATTATGGACTCCACACATCAACTGCATGTGAACCTGTATGCTGACTACAGAGTGATCCTGACAAAAGCTAGTTTCCTTTATGTTTTGCCACACTTGGAAAAAAACAAAACAGAACTCAAAACATGCAAATGGCATATCTTCAATCTAAAGTTCTGATTAAATGGGATTTTTCCAGTTAAAAGAAAGGCCATATAATCCAGCTTTTACCATTCCCTGGTTCATCAGTCAGATCAGTGGACTTATTTAACATCGATAGCGTGACTTAGCAATAATAGATCTGCTTTAGTAAATGCAGTTTCATGGTACAAGATGCCTCTCTAATGGACACTGGCATTGAACAGGAAAAAGTCTAGAGAAGGATCTTTTTTTGATTTCTAATTACCAATGTATAACACTAGTCTGTATACACCTCTCTGAAATAATGACAGCTAACACTTTCATAGAATTTCACTGTGTGTCAGACACCATTCTAAGCTCTTTACCTAATAAACTTTGAACAACCCTATGAGCTGGGTACAACTGTTATCCTAACGTTCCACTGAAGAGCAATGTGCCCAAAGTCACAGTAACTGGCAGAGCCAGGACTTGAACACCCAGTCTGACTCCAGTCTGACTCCAAGCTCAAAATCACTGCACTATGCCACCTTCACGTTGCAGGATTTGACTACTCTACCTTAGATTACTGGTCAACGATTTTAAGTGTGTCATGGTACGAATAAGGGCAACATCAATCAACGATAAAAGGCAATATCTAATCTATGTACTTGAGACATCTAGATGAAACTTGTCCATCTGTCTGCTTGCCTCACGTGGCACAGACACTGCACAAAAGGATATTGATGGTTTCGTCAAGGTCCTCTAGATCCCACTCTATGCTCCGGAGGTTGTTTCTCAGCTCGTTGGTGGTCCAGTCGATTTCTTCCCTCGTGGCTGTGGATGGGTCCTGGAGGAGCTCTGTCCATCTCTGAAACAATCCCTGTGCAGTGTTGACTGCTTTCTGTACCTCTCTGTATTCAGGTGAAGGGAAAGGAGAGATATGAGACAGCATGTTCCACGAGCAACTTATAAGACTTAGGTGAACCTTTACGATCAGACACCATCCTCAGCAACCACCATTCCCCAAAGTGTTTTTTTTTTTTTTTTTTTTTCTTGCGTTATGCGGGCCTCTCACTGTTGTGGCCTCTCCCATTTGCGGAGCACAGGCTCCAGACGCGCAGGCTCAGCGGCCATGGCTCACGGGCCCAGCCGCTCCGCGGCATGTGGGATCCTCCCGAAACGGGGCACGAACCCGCGTCTCCTGCATCGGCAGGCGGACTCTCAAGCACTGCGCCACCAGGGAAGCCCCCCCAAAGTGTTTTTAAGTTGTTACAGAAGGCTCTTCATGGACAAATATCAAAGTTCAAAACTTTAAAATAATAGGCTGAGTATTATGTTCTCAGCTGATTTCAAAATAAAACAGCCACTACTTAAGCAGCTATAATTACCAAGTTTGTTTGTGAAGGACAAAATTTAATTTTTCTATCGGACTGTACTTAAAAGTAGTCTAAGACGCTATAATATAAATTAACTAAAGGGCCGTTAACATTCACACATGTTGCCAGTTGGAGTGAAGTGATTTATATTCAGAAGAAAAGGTTCTAAAACAACGTTCCTTTTCTTGGGGAGGTTCATGTGGAAGAGGGGTAAAAAAGGACAGAAGGAAGGGTTACTCTTACACAGCTAGTCTTTTAGAAGGCAAGTATTTTAATCTGAGACATTTTAAAATCCAACATCTCATTAGAAGATTCCTAAATATTATTAGCTTTAAATTTATCTACTTTCCTGGATTAAGCAACTCTGTACAGCACATTAGTGTGTTTCATGTTTAGGGAGTGAGACCAGGCCATTAAGAGCTATGGCCCATTTTGCTTTTAGATTAGATACAGTCACAAGGTCTTAAAAACTCCTCCCCTGCCCCTGCCATTGGGCCAGTATCCACCATTTAAATTTTATAATCTAACACTACCACATATAAAAGCCAAAAAGGACTCATTTTATAATCATGGTGTCTTGTGTACAAAGATTATAATCTTCATGCTCCTAAACTAAGAGATCTGTTTGGATCCTTCTCTGATTTCTTAACCAATTCTTCTGGGTGTTCAATCAGTGTGTTCGTTATCTATTGCTTTAAAACAGAAATTGCACGCATCCTATTCCCTCTGACATTTCAAGTACCAGAGGAGACAGCACTAACAAAATGAAGAAAGGTGCCTTACGATATCTTGGACTGTGAATACTGATGACAGCTAAAAAGCTGAATGTTAAATAGAGAATAAAGCCATGGGGCCCAGCTGAATAAATCACTGAGCTACGCGGCCAACAATGAATCTACCAAGGTTATGTTCATAACCAGTTCATGGGTTAGGCAAGTCCCCTCATTTTTCCTCTCCCATCAGTCTTATGCTTTTAGCGTTAAAGAGAAACTATATTTGAGACAAAAAGAGGAAGGACTAAGTAAGTGAGATGTCAATCTGCTATTTTTACTCTTTACTGAGGTTTCTGGCTGATTTGGTAAAAAAAGAGGTATACATTTTGCCATAATATGAAGTATTTGGTTTATTTGTAAGTGTTGAATATGCTCTATGACAACAGAAGACAGAGTTAAAAAGGTATCTAAAATGATATCTCACTCTAAAGAATATGAAAATTATCAGTTCTGTAAAGGAAATTTGAATTCCTTTTTGAGGATTAGAAGCCTCAGGCTAGGGCATACCACGTTCTCCACACCAGTAGACAACTAGGATGCCAGAATTAAAAACTCTTAAGCAGTGATCTGTAAACTCTTTTGGTCTCAGGGCTCTTTTGCACTTTTCAAAATTACTGAAGACTCCAAAGAACTCAGATTAATGTGGACTCTATCTATTGCCACTTACTGTATTAGAAATTCAAACAGATATTTTAAAATATTTACCAATTAATCAAACATAATGATGAAATTAGGATATGCTAATGTTTTCACCAAAAATTTCTAAAACAACAATATCTAGTAAGAAGAGTGGCACTGATTCACATTTTTGCAAATCTCTTTAATATCTGGTTTAACAGGAGACAGGTGGATTCTCACACCTGCTTCTACATTCAGTCTGTTGACATACATCTTGGTTGAAATATATGATGGAAATCCAGCCTCATACAGATAGGGAGCTGGAAAAGGGAGGAGTATTTTAATAGTCTTTCCAGATAATTGTGGATATTCTTTCTTTACACAATACAAAAACTCGACAAGTGGCAGTTTCTTAAAGGTTAGCTGAAACTAACCAAAGACATTGTATATTCTCATACATTACAACCCACTGCTCCATCTTGTATTGCGAATGGATGTTTTACCCACATATGATTTTACAGCATCATGTACTGGTCATTTGTAAAGTATTAGTTTACTGAGCATCAAAGATCTTCCAAATGCTGACTCATTTCATTATACAATATCCAAAATCATATAATAATATCACCACCAATTCCATCAGAAAAACTTACTGGGAATCTGTAAGATGACAGCAGTTGATACGAGCTTTCCAAAATTCTATTTTTTAAAAAAAGGCTCTAATTTCGTCATCCACAAAAATACTGTCAGTTGTCTTCCGAGAAGTGACAGGTTCACCTCATTCATTTTTGAGAAAATCTCAAGTTTTTTTAAGATAATTTTGAGATTTGTGAACATATGCAAATCTCAATAACCAGTTTGCGAGTTATTCTTTGAAGAAAAAATAAGATTCTGTGGAGGAAAAAACGAGCTATTTCAGCTCACAGCTGGATGACAGAAGTGCTTTCCCTGGAGTCACCATCTTAGCTCACAATACAGCCAAAGTGTTTCATGCACTCTCTCATTTCGTCACACAGAGTATCAAAACGTGTACTAAGGCTGGGAGAAAACATTTGTGCATTACATGTCTGATTAATGACTTGTATCTACAATATATTTAAAAAAAAGAAAAACTCTCAGGGCTTCCCTGGTGGCGCAGTGGTTGAGAGTCCGCCTGCCGATGCAGAGGACATGGGTTCATGCCCTGGTCTGGGAAGATCCCACATGCCGCGGAGCAGCTGAGCCCGTGAGCCATGGCCGCTGAGCCTGCGCGTCCAGAGCCTGTGCTCCACTACGGGAGAGGCCACAACAGTGAGAGGCCCACGTACCACAAAAAAAAAAAAATTTTTAAATAGACAAAAGATCTGAACAGTCACTTCACCAGAGACGACATACAAATGACAACTAGCACATGAAAAGATACCTAATATCATTAGTCATCAGAAAAATGCAAAGTAAATCCACAATAAGATACCACTACAAACTTAGAATGGCTTCACACAACTAACCAACCAATTGACAATGCCAAGTGCTGACCAGGTGGTGGAGTAACTGGAACTCTCATTCATTACTGGTGGAAATGCAAAACTGTACAGCTACTTTGGAAACCAGTGTGGCTGTTTCTTAAAATTAAACATACAGGGGCTTCCCTGGTGGCGCAGTGGTTAAGAATCCTCCTGCCAGTGCAGGAGACACAGGTTCAAGCCCTGGTCCAGGAAGATCCCACGTGCCGCGGAGCAACTAAGCCCGTGCGCCACAACTACTGAAGCCCACACACCTAGAGCCCGTGCTCCACAACAAGCCACCACGATAAGAAGCCCAAAATATCTGTTTGAATTTCTAATACAGTAAGTGGCAATAGATAGAGTCCACATTAATCTGAGTTCTTTGGAGTCTTCAGTAATTTTGAAAAGTGCAAAAGAGCCCTGAGACCAAAAAAGTTTATGGATCACTGCTTAAGAGTTTAATTCCGGTAGCCCCTGCTTGCAGCAACTGGAGAAGGCCCGCGTGCAGCAACGAAGACCCAACGCAGCCAAAAAATAAAATAAATTTAACAAAAAAAAAAAAACATGCAAAACATACACTTACCATTATGATCCAACAACCCCACTTCAAGGTGATACAAAAACACACAGGTTCATACAACAACCTGCAAATTCTTATAGTAGCTTTAGTCGTAACAGCCAAAAATTGAAAACAACCCGAATGTCCTTGAACTAAGGAATGGACAAACTGTGGTACATCTGAACAATGGAATACTACTCAGCAATAAAAAGAAACAAACCACAAATACATGCAACAATATGGACAAATCTCAAATGCATTATGCAAAATGTAAGAAGTTAGACTCAGAAGGCCACACACTGTATGATTTCATTTCTGTAACATTCTGGAGAAGGCAGAACTATAGGGACAGAAAATAGATCAGTAGTTGCCAGATGCTGGGCATGGGGGAAGGGGGACACAGAAACTTTTAGGGGTGATGGATCTGTCCTGCAACTTATTTGTGGAGGTGGTCATTACTGACTATACGCATTTGTCAAATTTCACAGAAGTATACACTAAAAAGGGTCAATTTTACTGTAGGTAAATTATAACTTTTAAAAAATGAGGAAAGGTGTTCTTGGGACTCAAGATTTGATACTTTTTTTTTTTTTTACTGTTTCATGAAGAACATTCTTGAAGGAATATGATTCTCATTTTTCTTTTTCACTGTGAGGGAGGAATACAATGACTACTAGTACAGTTTGGTGCCACTGCTTTGATTTAGGCTAAGGCACCAGCAGTTTGCACCATCAGTGTTATTGTCAACATGATGAAAAAAAGCAAATAACATCTGAGTAGTATCATGAAAAGCAGTTTAAGCTGAGGGGCTCTTCTATGAAAGGATCTTGAGACCCCCTTGGGATCCAAGGGCCACACTTTCAGACTTGAGGAGGAGGAGGGGCAGGTGGGTAGATTCAATTCTTACAGCACAGAGTGAAATCAAGGAGTCCTTAAGCATGCAAGAACTTGTGCATGTCCTAAAGAAGAAATGAAAGAAATGGCAGGAATTAGAAAAATGCTGCAAAGCATTCCCAGGAAGACATTCAAAACCCAACAGGCCTGGCCAGTGACCTGGCTTATTCCACTCTCAATCTCTTATTTTTAAAAGAGGTTTCATTT